AGTTGGGAGGACGTGTGGTAAGAGAATTTCGTTGATGTGGTTGAAGTGGCCATAGTCGTCCTTTCACGTAGGTGGCGCAGTCGAATGTTGCGATCTGTTGAAACCGATCCCATGCCTTGTGATGGTCCTTGGCGCTACATTGAAAACCCTGGCTACAGCTGATCGGGATGCCCCTGCCTGCAAGCAGCCTTTGACGCTGTTTCTTTGCACTTCTGTTAATCTTGGCATGTTGTTGAACTGTCACTGTTCGGTTGACGCAGATGCCAGGCAATCAAAAACCTTGCACTTTAATACCGTTCATAGTTCTGCTGCACGTGCAGTGCGTGCAGCTCCTTGCCCCTTTTGTTAATGCCGTGTCTCCGAAATAATGGTTTGCATGTCCTTGTTGTGTTCATTTTGATCCGAGAATTTTGACACTGAAACTATAACACATTAAACCTCTTCATTGTGCACCTCTTGGTCCACTTATTTTGCTGTTATAGCCCAAAATATCCGCATTGCATTTCTTTTTTGAAGAGTATATATAATATCTGGTATGGCTATGGTCAAGCATAGGTAGAAGTTGAGCTTCGAGCAAACATTGGTTTAGATAGCTTTGTGAAATACACATATTCTTGCATGTGGAAAGGAAAGAGACAAGAGAAAACATGACGGTAACATGACGATAACATCCCATACTGTTTAAGCCACTATGGGCCCTGATGATAGAAGATAAATTAAAATGTAACAGCCAAGCACAATTTTAAACCATATTTCAGCAACAAGTAATCTTAAGTTCTGATTTAAAGCGATGTATTTCAGGATTCAGTGTTTCAGTGTTGTCACTTCCTGGTTGAAATCAGTGCTGACATGTCTTTGTGGGATTCAGTATTGCCATTTCCTAGTAGGATTTAACTTTGTCACTTCCTTGTAAGAATTGTCACTTCCTTGTAGAATTCAGTGCTGTCACTTCCAGATTGGATTAAGAATCTTCACTTTCTCATAGGATTCAGTTTTGTCACTTCCTTGTAGAATTAAGAATTGCCACTCCCTTGTAGAATTTAGCACTGTCATCTCCTGGTTGGATTCAGTGTCGATTCACTGACTTACTGGATGGATTCAGTGCTATCACTTCTTTGTAGGATTCAGTTTTGTCACTTCCTGGTAGGATTAAGGGGTGTGAGTTCCTGGTGGGATCCAGTGTTGACACTTCCTGGTAGGAATGAGTGTTGTCACTTCATGGCTGGATTCAGTGCTGTCACTTCTTTTTAGGATTTACTTTTGTCACTTCCTGGTAGGATTAAGTGGTGTCACTTCTCAGTAGGAATTAGAGGTTTGACTTCCTGGTGCGATCCAGTGTTTTTACTTGAAAAAAACGCTATGACAAAAAAGACGTTCACTTCCTGGAAGGAATCAATGTTGAGATTTTGGCGGACTTGTTGTATTTTGCATGCTTCTTGGACATTGATCAGCCCAACATTTCGGTTTCTCTTATATATTATTACTCTAATGTTTGAAAAACACTCTGGGGTTATGTTCTGCCCCAAATTTGTTGCGGAACAAAGAATATTTCTGGTCAGAAAATACTCTTGAGGCAACTGGCTGTCGAGGCTATAATTATAAAGTGGTCACTGATTGGTTTTATTAATTACTATCACGCCAAGGGGGATAACCCTTCCTCCTCATTCTGACCAGTTAATAATATTGATGATACAACTGCTAACATTAACGAGTATTTGTAAGGCAGTAGACACCATACACTGACGCATGATCACACTATTGCACAATATGCACATCTATTTACGGTAGAAAAAGTCCTTTTGATACTAGTACAGTTCATAATGAATTTGTTTTTTATCCATTCACCTCACACTTCATATATCTCGATGTGGGATCGGTTTTGATTTCTTTAATTTATTTCTATGTTGGATACCTCTCCTGCGATCATTATCACACTATTAAGGGGCCTGGGATTCAGCATGTAGATCAGATACTGTTTCATCTACAGCTACAAGAACCAGAATAAATATTTTTGTTGCTTTGGAAGATACATCAATTATTTATTTTCTAGCCAATGATTGTTGAATTGAAGAGTCTGAAGCATAATAATCTTTTCACAAAAGAATATCCATGTAAAACATTTTTTCGATTTGTTTCTGATGGTACATATTACATATAATAATTACGTTACAGGCAGCTGGCCTGATGGTACAAACGGCTTCTAGTGTCACTGTCTATCTCTGACGTAATACTTCTGTTACAGGCAGCTGTCCTGATGGTGCATACGGTGTCACTGCCTATCTCTGATATAATACTTCTGTTAAAGGCAGCTGTCCTGATGGTGCATACGGTGTCACTGTCAGTCTCTGATATTATACTTCTGTTACATGTAGCTGCCCTAACGGTACATACGGCTACCAGTGTCACTGTCTATCTCTCATATAACACTTCTGTTACAGGCAGCTGTCCTAACGGTACATACAGCTACTAGTGTCACTGTCTATCTCTGATATAATACTTCTGTTACAGGCAGCTGTCCTAACGGTACATACGGCTACTAGTGTCACTGTCTATCTCTGATATAATACTTCTGTTACAGGCAGCTGTCCTAACGGTACATACGGATACCAGTGCGGCTACAGATGTAACTGTGACCAAGACAAGTGTGATTCTACTTCCGACTGCAGTCCGCCAGCCTGTCACCCAGGATGGTCTGGTCCGACATGTCAGAAACGTATGTAACTACAGCAGCACAACTACTGACATCATAATGCCACTGGAAGCCTTGTTCATATACAATGGTGTCAAATCGCAAATATATTTCTCGGTTTTCAACAACTGATTCAGATGTCATAACCCAACACTAATTCAGCAGTCATATCGCTAACGGGTCACTTACATCAACAACACCCCTACTTTTAATTAGGCAGTCACAGAATGTATTCAAAATCTAACCCTTGTGTCATCAATGTACCCTTTTTCGGTTCTTGAATCAAGTACTACCATTTTGATTGGATAAAAACTGGAAAGACCTTGTCTTTTTCAATCAGAAGCCCTGTATGCCCTTGCAATCACTTGGTATTGAGTTAAAGCAAATACCCATTGTTACTTTAGTGTGAAACCAACCAACATCCAACAAGTGGTATACAATCAACAAATGTATAACAAAATTCACTAGGTTTACAAATCGATACAAATTATTGCAAAGCAATTAAAATGACAGTACACACTAGAAGTTGTACAATACTGAATGACAATATATGATATGATGGCAGTGGTCAGTATCAAATACAAAAATACCGCGGTGAGAGCAAAAAATAATAGTATATTCACCAAGCGGCGACAGTGGTCAATCTTCCGAGATGAGCCTAGGCTGGGAATCCGGGGTGATGAGTGATGTTCACAAGAAAACTGGTCTTGATGTAATGAAATGTGTGAGAGATACAAGAGGCACGCTCTTTTCCCCTATATACAGTCATAATAGCTTCTGGCAATTTCTACACAGTGCCACCACAGAATATTCTACAGGTTTCTATCTGTGTCTGCGGTATTCCGGAAGTTTTACACATCACATTAGCATCTAAATATAACTTGTCATCTAAATCTTGTCATCTAAATATAGTTATAAATTCCTCAAAACTGCTTACATTAAATAGTACCACATTCCGTAGAGGGTAATGTCCGAGTAAATCTGCAGTCCTTAAAAATAATTGAGCAGAGGCCCATTTTTCTAAAGGAATGGAGAGTTACGAATGTATTCCAGTACTTAAAACACATCTCTGCTCTTACAATTTTGACAAACCATTCAAAAGAATCAGAAGCATTCATTGTAAAGATCAGCTCGTGACGGAGCACGTGCAACAGCGTCAGAGAACCAAATCAACTATCCATTTCCAAAAAGTAATGGAGCCCTCACATAATAGAATATTCCATCTGTTTTTATAACGCTTTATCTCAATCCACGGTATGAAGAAAGTTTACAAATCACTACAGCATCTAAATATAGACTCTTCCTCAAAACTGCTTACATTTAACAGTACCACATTCCTGACAAAAATCATTCTTCAAATAAAATGCAATAAGCTTTAACCGAACTCAACAGAAACAATGTTACTTCAGCTACAATCATTGTTTAACAATAAAATACACTGCCATCTTACACCACTGATCATCCTGAACTATTGGATACTAGTATAATTATGTTTGGTTAAAGTATGTACATGGATTCACGCCATTCATAAATGTCAGAAGAAATACAGAAAACCAGAGTAACACAGATACAGACGTGCGGCCTGCTACAAAGTGGTGGTGGTGAGAATGTCTCTTGTCGATCTTATTAAAGCAAGAGGAACATGACAAAATTATATGTTTGGTTTTTACCAAAGGGGGCAATATAACATTAATATTTGAGGTCACAGAATGTATCGTCGCAATGTCGCCTCAATGCGTAAAAAACGTTTCATGAATTGTCGCATTCTCGCGTTGTGACATTGTTGCGTTTTCTGTAATATATTTCAGGTGTTGCCTTCGTCTTATTTTATGCCTTGGCGCTCATGTTTCTAACTCGAAACGTTGCTGAAAATGATGGATGTGAAATCACAGAAAAAGAAAAATCCTGTTTCTGGCAAAAGAAATCAAACCCCAGGAATGTAAAATGGTCAGTCCCCAAATGTGACAAGTCCAGCAATCCCCCCATAACAAGTCGGGTTTTTGTATTATAGGATGTGCAGATATGTGTGATGTTTGTAAGTCTTGTTAATGGGCAGAAGTCTTAATGTAAGGAAATAAAAGAGACCAGATTCTGCTGAACACTGCTGACTGCAGATATCGAACACAAACAAATCGAATAAATTGAAAGAAGTATCTTGTTCATGCATTTTCCAGATAATGTTGCGAGGAAGAAAGCTACATCATCCAGTGGAGATGGCAATTACCCGTCATCCCATGCCACGGACGGAAACACTGCAAGCGGGTATCTTATCTGTATAGAAACAGCGCCAAGCAACCCCAACTGGTGGCATATGGATCTCAATGACACAGTGCTGATACGTGAGGTCATCATCTACTTCAGAACTGACTGTGAGTTTATTGTCAGCTGCAATCGATAATGCTTGGTTAATTGTTAGTTTGTGAGAATCTATTGTTGGCTGTTTAATGTTTATACAACATGCATCAATTTGGTTAAATAAACATACTTTTCTCTTCAGGACAGTGTTGAATATGTTCATGTGGCTATCTATGCGATAGCCCTCATGTGACTATATTGAAGCAATTATTCCAGACAAACCAAGAAGGAATGGTATCCAGATGTACGTAACGAACTCCACTGATGTACCCAGTGGTGACAACTGCTACAACGTGACAGGAGGAAGCGATGGAAGTGGCATTGCTGACGTCACACGGGCACCTTGCTCTAGTATGGGGCGCTACATTTTACTTTACACAACAGTGACAATTGATGGCGACAGTCAGCCTATACTTGACTTTTGTGAGGTAGAAGTTGATGGTAAGCTAACACTAATGTGTCATATTTCGTAATAGCACTGTGGGTGCTCTAAGCTCGGATGCAATGATTTGACAGTAATTAAAAGCAGCGACTTAAGGAAAGCAAACATCATGACCACACATACATTAACTCAACAAGAAATATAAAGTGTTGTTAATGAACTTTGCTGCAAATTTATCGTTTTGTAATTTGTCCCTTCATGCATGTTTTCGAAAAAAAGTATCCGTCAACCATGATCTATGCTGCACCTCGCTTTACCAGTGCCACATGTTTTCAATCAAATATGTAACTTTATGTTAAGATAAGAACATCTGTGCGTGAAATAGGTTCAGTTTGTCCTCATCATGTTTAATTATCTATACATAGGTGTCTTCGTTTTCGTGGTCATATAAACCCATAAAATACATGTAAAACTCAATGTACTGTGGTGTAAGAATCAAACATCCATTTGACAGTGTGCAGTGGTGGTACTTTCGGCGCTGACTGTGACAACTACTGCCACTGTGACGGTGAGGTGTGCAACTACGTCAGAGGCATCTGTCCCAGTGGAATCTGTGTGTCAGGCTGGGGGGGCAGCAGTTGCAACAACAGTGAGTTAAACAAAGAATCTACCTGAGGCGAAAACATGAATAAACACCGTTAAGTAGAATAGAAATACATAAAATTGAACTGAACTATTCGCTAAAATGAAGGTATACCATCTCAGATGTTTTCCAGTTCAATATAAATTAAGACATTAATATGTCGCACAAATACAATAAAATGTTTTCAGTTACAAAACAAAACAAAACAGGAAAAACTGAAAACAGTTTACAACAGACAGGACAGACATCAGACAGGAGAAGAAGCGGCAGACCACGCCCACTGAAGACCGTCACACTCGGACCATTCATCGCCCAAATCCCTTCATTACAGCAGCGGTAACTACACTGATGACACTGGGAAACAGTGTCCGTCGACAGACAGTATATAGGAGATGAAGAAAACGTGGTATCAGAACATGTTGACATACGTCAACACCGATGTGACAGGTTTTCATGGGCCAGGCGAGTTCGATTTTGGCAAGTGCTAGACTGGGGATGCGTCATGTTCTACATTGAGAGTAAATATTGCGTGTACAGAAATTATGGTCAGCAGCGAGCTTTCAGCCATTTGGAAGCATTAGCATCATGGTCTGGGAATGTATCTGAGGTGATGTCAAAACGAGGCTCGTTATCATCAGTGTAACTTGAATGCCCAGAGATATGGGGATGAAGTTTGGATATTCCTTCAGCAACAGCCACATCGTATTGTCTTCAGCAAGAAAATGCAAGCCCGCATACCACAAGGCTAACACAAAACTTTCTGAACAACGCGAACATTCACTTTTAACCCTGGCTGGCACGTTCTCCTGATGTTACCCCATCGAACAATTATGGGATCACCTTGACCGATAGATCCAAAGACGACCAATGGCTCATGTCAACCGTCAAGAATTGGAACAATGTCTCCTTGGGGAACAGCAGCGGATTACCTCCAACGTTATTCAACGTTTGACGTCTCAGTCAGTCGTAAAGATTTTGTTTGGATAACATAAGCAGATTTACACATTATGTTAAAACACAACTCTAATGAAATATATACATATTGATAGTATACATGCTACTGGTTTTCTTTCATAGTCTTTCAAATTCTTGGTACTTTACATTCACAAACATTTCTTTGGATTTGGATAACTTCCTTACTGTAATTTTCAACATTAGTTGAATTTCAACTTTTATGAACGTATTTTACACAATTTAATTGATTCATGAAATTAAATCAATAGTCTCTGTATCTGCTGTTTCAGCATGTCCAATGGGAGAATACGGACGACGCTGCTCAAAGCGATGCACAGACAGAATGTGTAAGGACAACACCTCCAGCTGTAACCATGCAACTGGTGAATGTTCAGATGGATGTCTGGCAGGCTACCAAACACCGGACTGCACACAGGGTAAGGATACACGGGTGTATGTTGTGTATGTAGACCAGCATTTTAAACAGCTGTATTCTGTAAAATAGCTTCAATAATTTGAGTGGGTATGGTTTTACGACGAATATTCCAGCAATATCACGGCGGGGGACACCAACAATGGGCTTCACACATTGTACCCATGTCGGGAGTCGAACCTGGATCTTTGGCGTGACGAGCGAACGCTTTAACCACTAGGCTACCCGACCGCCCGATTCAATAATTTGAATAAACCCAGCACAAACATATTAGGAATGCAGACACAACATATGTTTCTTTAAAGAATGCGTCGATACGTATGGAGAGAACTGCACAAGAAGCTGCTCAGTCAGACATTGTAGAGACACGCCCCAATCTGTATGTGATCACGTGACTGGATGGTGTAAAGGAGGCTGCAGTCCGGGATGGAAAGATGTTGATTGCATGACAGGTGAGAGCTGTGTGGAAAGGAAATATTCTTTGTGGATATAATATGATCGAATGTAAACTCATGACACATTTATTGATAGTCCAAGCTTTCATTTTTACTCACATCTTACCCCTTGAATCACGTTATTCATGAGTAATAAAAGTCGTCGTGTTCATTGTAATTCATGCATTCTGAATAGCTGAATTTGTCATGTGTTATTGCATTCATTTCCCAATGAATGTAAAACATTAAGTCACGCCCACCGAAGTTGACTTCTTTTATTAGTGCTGAATGTTGGGAATCCCATTATTACAGCCTGTGGAATTCTCTTTCTGCTCACGTGTATCGTCATGCACAGGACGCTTTCATGTCTTTGGGTTTTATTTCTAACCGGCATTTTCCAAATGTGTCTTCTTGTTCTCAGGGAGGTAATGTTTGAATCTGGTGGTAACTTCTTAAATAAAATAAAAAAGTGCAAAATGTATATTCAGACATACAGCTTACGTGATATCACAGACGAAACAGTCTAAATAAAAGCAACAAAATCCTGTCAACATTCAGAAGAAATCTCTTGTAACAGCAGAGTCGATTGTATAATACCAACTAGATCATGAAAATATGTTTATGAATCAACATCAAAAGGGATGATACCAGATGTTCGCGAAAAGGTGAGCGTATCTTGCCCCAGCAGTGGCACCCGTCACAGCAGACAATCAAAGAAAAGTCATTTGTTCACCGTAAAAACAACAACACGGGAACATATGGTACAACTCAAATAGGGAATTGCATCGGACATCAGTTTTGACACTGATGCGTCAAATTTTGAAATATCCTCCATATGTCTACCATAAAACGTTTTGTAACCTTGATAAAACAACATTAAAACAGTCCGTGTTTTTAAATTGAATATCTACCCCAGATGGTTCAGTCAACAATGATCTTACAGCGAAAATAATGACTTGTATTTTCCCTTTGGTTTATACAATTCAACTTATTGTTTTTGCCTTCTTCTGTGCATTTGGTGAATTTGACTCGTTATTAATATCTGTTGATTAAATATACCAATAGGCTGTGTCCAAGATGTGGAGTATGGTGCCGGATGTAAAGGCAACTGCAGTGCCCGGATGTGTGACGGAGGGTCGGGCACCTGTCCCCGAGACACAGGCTTGTGTAGTGATGGGTGCCAGTCAGGATGGACAGGAGATGATTGTACTCAGAGTGGTATGTGATGTCAAGATGTTAAAGGTGGACATTGCACACGAAGTATGTGATGTGACACTTGGTGCATTTGTTGATGGTGTTACTGAAACGTTCATTTTTATATATATTCCAATAATGTTAATTAACAAGTTTGAAATTACACACGTACTATTTCAGAACTGAATTAATAAGTAATTAATAAACTTTAATCAATAATCAATAATCATATTCAACATGCATTCATGCACTATATTCATCTAATTTCAATCAACAAATTGTCACATCAGCATTAAGGTTATATTTTTCCTTCCACAATAATCTGACACTGCCAAGATATAACTGAACTTACTGACCCACTCAGGGTCATTATTATTCCAGCGACTGTTTCAACTCCTCAATCCAACGACTCAAACGGAGCTACGATTGGTGGTATCGTTGGTGGCGTGTTAGCAGTGGTCGTGGTTGTACTTGCTGTGATAGGTGTTATGTTTTACAGGTAGGTGCGCTTTTATGAAAATGGACACATACATATGTGCTTGGCCTTTTCCCTCTTCAAGTGAGAATATCATGTTTATTGTATCATACGTATAACTGTTCCACTCACCTTATTCTTAGATATAATATCAATAGATAATAACATAGTTTATACAAATAATTCAGGAATCCAGTTACTGAATGATCTATGTCAGATGTATAAAGCATATTGTCATCAAATCTGTGTAAACACATTCTGATGCTTCTTATGTTTACATTAAGGAGAAAAAACAATGCCAGCAATATCAACAAGGAGCACTCCATCTACGAAGACATATCAGCTATGGAACCAGACAGACACCAGGTGCAAAGTAAATAGAAGTGACACAACCCTTTTCAGAATCATAAGGAATCTCTGCTATAAACCTGATTCCATTGTATGATTCCGTCTACATCATAAGCACGTGTTTATGATATCACCATGAAACAGTGATGATACCAGGTGTTCGTGAATAGGTGAGGGTATCATGAAGTAGTCTTCTGAACGTAGTCTCCGGTTCTCCTTAAGACAGGTAACGATCTTGCTCCTAGATAATTAAAACAAGAAAGCCTGTAAACAAAGATAGACTTGTTCAGCCCTAAAGGGAACGCATGTTGTTCTGCAGCATCCCAGGGAGTAAACAGAGACAAGGGGGAGGAGATGGAGGAGATGGAGGAGATGGAGGAGGAGGCTGACAGAAACTCTTACTACAACATCAAGGCTCCAGTTATAGTGACGGAAGTGGCTGTGGACAAACTAGGGGACGGAATCAGAGAACTGCAGGCTACTGAAGGAGGATTCGAACAGGAATTCAAGGTAGAGCCTCATTTTATCTTCCAATACCCACGAACTCATGGTATCAACATCAAGTCTGGCTATCAGGTTGCATGTCACAACACAACAGCGTAACACTGAGAGAATCACTATGAATGTCATTGATAAAGAGAGTGAATGAATGTGTCTCTAAGGATGTCACATGTCTTTTTGAGAGACGCTTTGTATCGTTTAATTATGCACGAACATGGAATGAAAGCCCATGGCATAAAGTTGATTTTCAGGATAAGTTTGTTTTTAAGAAACTGAATATGGGAATTCTATTATTCTTTCTAGCGGTTAATATCCGGGTTCACACACCCATATGAAGATTCCAAACGTGAGGAAAACAACGGCAAGAACAGGTTCCGAGAGTATTATCCATGTGAGTATCTTACCACTGCATTGTGGACTACTGAAATGATAGAAAGAGGTCCTAACTGAACATATAGCTACGAAGGTTTGCATGAGATCACCAAGAGTCAGTCAGTATATTCTCAGACTGAATGATACACTGCTTATTCTCAACCACAGATGACTACAACCGAGTTGTCCTTCAGAAGCATCCAGGGGATCAATCATCCGACTACATCAACGCCAGCTATATCAATGTAAGATTCCAAAATATTATTCATCACGTAGTTTCATATGAAGGTCCATAGTAACTGACCACCTACTGTTTAATGTATTTTTGAATACCAAAATAATATTACTCAAATATACTACATATCGCATACGTTTAGTTTCTTATTTACCTCCGCACCCAGAAATATTAACGTATATGACGGCGGTCTGTAAATGCTTAAGTGAGGACGAGACAGTCAAGCGAATGATCTCCACAACTGGGATATGATGACAGGCATTAAACGAATATGAGATCCTGACAACTCGATCCCGTCAGTCAATCGTGGGTTTGCAAAAGATTCTGATAATAACTGGTGCTGCTAGTAAAATGCAGGACGGCCGTGTTCTAGCTTACACATTAATGCCCCTTAACACCATCCGTTATGTTAGAACCCATATTTGGCAGTCTGTTTGGATCACAGATATGGGGCATTTTTAAGATCATATTTGTGTAAACATGAATGATACATGTGCAGAAAGATGTTTTTATGTTTGAACCATGTGACCTCTGCCATCTGTAAACTACAAGCATTCGTCACGGAGTCTCCAATAACGCTAAGAATTATACTGCATTAACTAAAAAAGAAATAACCTCTTCTAATTGGTATCTAGTTTATTAATATCATGCACAAACAACCCGTCTCCTCATTTTTTTAAGCAATAAAACAAAACTGTTATTATGGCAGTTCTTGCAAAAGATAATAGAACATGGCAAATAACTCCTGATAACTTTGGCACTGTTTGTCATCCTAACATTGGAATGGGGCAAGGGTGCTGTTCACCCCCAAGGCCATCCAGAATCTAACGATGGCATGTTCGAGTCCCTAGATTTGTCAACATTTGTCCATGTACGTGGGTTTTACCAAAGTTGTTTGGTTTCTTGTCGAGTCTTCCTCCCACATTAAATTGACACCCGACGATACAGCTGAAATACCATTCAGCAATGTGTAAAGTTACTTACTAGCTTTTTTCGTTGCAATGGTTGGACCCTTCCCCCCCCCCCCCCCCCCCCCATATATAGCCATGATGGAGTGTGTTAATAGGCTCATAGGAGATCTATTATCTTAACATGCTTCCTACAGCTGCAGTACATCATGACTTGCAGGTAGACCCGTGAAGATTCGGGGTAGAAAAGGTCTTCAACAACCCATGCTTGCCATAAAAGGCGACTATGCTTGTGGTCAGGCTTGCTGACTTGGTTGATGCATGTCATCGATCCCAATTGCTTGGATGGATGCTCATGATATCAATCACTGTATTGTCTGGTCCAAACTCGATTACTTAGAGACCGCCGTCATATAGGTGGAATATTGCTGAGTGTGGCTGAAACAACAAACAAACAAACAAACTTGTAGATATATGCAAAGTCCTAAGTGGACATGTCTTTCACATTTCAGGGATACTCGATGGATCAAGCCTATATTGCAGCACAAGGTCCGATTATATATGAATACTTCAGAATTGTTTTGTACAGTATTATTATAGTGTTGACCTAACATGTATCTATATTTTCGTGTATTGATCAATATGAACAGTGAACATACCAATATCGCAAATCAGAATCATATGTTTGTGTTCGTCAGCACCAAACAAGAAAACTGTCGGGGATTTCTGGAGAATGATCTACGAGAAGAACTTGACAAGGATCGTCATACTCACAAACCTGACAGAGACAGGAAAGGTATGAGCAGATGGAATTGAGTTAGTTGTGGTGATGGAAATTATCTGCAGTTGTCACGGGTAGCTAAATAAACTGTTCAGAAGAGGTGGTACAATCTCTATCATCCGTTATGAAGAAGACAATGAGTCTTCGTTTTCAACCTCCTCATCACTAAACCATCGTATTTCAACTATCTCACATGAGTTCCACAGGACTAGCAGCTATTGATATACAGTACAGAGTAAGACACTCCAATGTTATATCATGGCACTAATATTATTGCACTGTCCAGGTGAAGTGTGTCCCCTATTGGTCAGACACGTCTGACCTCATTGTGGATGTCTTCACCATCTCCGTCACCAACATTAGCCACAGAGCTCACTGGGTCATCAGGGAACTCAAAGCGACTTTGAAAGAGGTAAACAAATTAAGTGAATCACAATCGTAGCAAAATACAGGGGAAATCGGCGAAACGCATTTTAGTCAAACTCTTAAGAACCAATGTTATGTTATCGACATATATGTTGTCAAGAGTTGTAAATTGCATGTAATTCTACAGACCGGCGAGAGTAGGCTGTTTCACCATTTCCACTACACAAAATGGCCAGATCATGGAACTCCAGAGGAAACAGCACTGATGGAGTTTCTTTGGAGAATAAGAAAGACACCAAGCCCTCACAATACGCCTATGATGGTGCACTGCAGGTATGTGCTTGTGTATGACACCAAGTGTGCTATAGCACTTAATGTAGAATCATGTTTACCTCAAGGTAATCATGTATATATATTTGATTCTTGCCTATGCGTGAATATAAGTCTGATAAGTCTAGTACAGTTTATTTTTATCCCTGAATTAAAGAGAAGTTTACTTCAATGACAGCATTATTTGTATAATATTTACAGAGGTCCTTCAGTTTTCGTTTCACACAATACACGTCCTTTCCTCTCCAGTGCTGGGGTCGGTCGGACAGGGACGTACATCGCTGTGGACTACCTGCTGGACCAGGCCCTGACTGACCCGAAGGTGGACGTGTTCGGGTTTGTGAATCTAATGCGACAGCAGCGGAGAAATATGATACAGACCAAGGTATGTGACAAGCGACATAATCTATGTTGCCCGGTCATATTCATATCTCCATATTTCACCATTTTCCATCAAGCAATGATGGTTTTACATTGTAGGAGCAGTACGCATGCGTGTACACGACTCTACATGAGGCACTGATGATGGGTGACACGACCTTGACCTCACCCGAATTCAGGACACAAAGACGAGCAAAGAAGGTGTTCAAGATGGGGACGGCGACAGTGTCTCAGATGATGAAGGTGCGTGCTTCTCGTGTTTATTTAATTCTCTTCCAACACTGATATAGAGTTAAATGAAGAATGTGTATCTTTGACGTTCTACCCTGATCGTAGTTAGGAATGCATTAAAAAATAATAGGGTATTAGCTGACACAACATTTGTTTCAGATGTCAGCCTCAGTAATACGCCAGTTGTAAGATCTGATGTAATGAATACGATAAACGGATATGTACGTGCTGTTGATATTTTTAACATTGTCAGGATGTGTATGTGTGTGCGTGCGTGTGCGTGTGTGTGTGTTTGTGTGAGTGTGTGAGTGTGTGAGAGAGAGATAGAGTGTGTGTGTGTACATGTGTGTGTGTGTGTGTGTGTGTGTGTGTGTGTGTGTGTGTGTCACAATATGCTTGTTACAATAATATTTACAAAATCATAAGAGGTCTCTACCAAAATCGGAGTCCATTGTACGATTCCAAGTATATTATAACTATGGGTTTATGAATCATATCAAATAAAATTAGGGGCGGTCGGGTAGCCTGGTGGTTAAGCGTTGGCTCGTCACGCCGAAGACCCAGGTTCGATTCCCGACATGGGTACAATGTGTGAAGCCCATTTCTGGTGTCCTCCGCCGTGATATTGCTGGAATAATGCTAAAAGCGGCGTAAAAGCATACTCACTCACTCACTCAAACAAAATTAATGTTAGCTTATATGTACATTTCTGTTCCGCTTTCTGTTTCGTTCTGAGTGCAGTACTTCTGTTTTGCCTACTGAGATGGTCTCGTTCCAATTATCTGCCGTCGCACAGTATATACAGTGTTGTAACTCACGACATTGATCCACCCCAGCAATACATGTAGTACATCGAAGACATCATATGTGCCATTTGTCTTTTTTACAGCAAGTTAAAGTCAGCATCGAAGAACTTAAATCTGGTAAGAACATTTTCCCTGGGCTGAGAATGCAATGTACCTGAACACCGATACCGGGTTTGGAACGGAGCAGTATGTGAATGGTTTTTAGCATTCCCCTCCAGTAGTCATGTGATAAATAAATGGGTAATCATATTGCCCATGTGCCCCAAGTGAGTGAGTCCGGTGATGCAGGAAGTGATGCATGTCTTGTTAATGCAAATGCAGACCATGGTTATCCTTCCAAGAACACCCGTGAAGATTCGGGTTAGGATAGGTCTTCAGCAACCCATGCTTGCCGTAAAAAGGCGACTATGCTTGTCGTAAGAGGCGACTTACGGGATCGGGGGGTCAGGCTCGCTGACTTGGTTGAAGCATGTCATCGATCCCAATTGCGTGGATCGATGCTCAAGATATCAATCACTGTATTGTCTGGTCCGGACTCGAGTTGTTACAGACCGCCGTCATATAGGTGGAATATTGCTGAGTGCGGCGTAAAACAACAAACCAACCAACCAACAAACATCTGGTGTCACATAATTTTCACCGCTATTTTGCCCTTTATGCCTAGTGGAATATGTTTTCGGAACAATCGAGACTGGACTGGCGTTGACGTTATATATTTGGACGTTTATATAAAAGTCGATGAAATCCAAGAAATCAAATCGGGGAATCAGGCATTAAGATCCACAAAGAGGTTTCTGGCACGTCTAATCGACGTAACACTGTGAAGCGAATTGCGGTCCCTTGGACGACCAAGCCACCTGTGCCGCTCCTGAACCTTTAACTGACTCATCAACATACTTAATTTAAATATACACTTGATTGATCAACACATCAGTCGTTCTTAAGGAAACATCCATTGTTAGAAAACCACACTCTTTGTCCAATCATGTCTTTCTGTTTGATAGCTGGGCGCATCAAAGGTCAGGTTTGGGTGAACGGACGGACAGACATCCTAGCTGTGATGATGCCTGTAAGTATAGGGACTCACCTGTTAGCCACACATAGGTACAGTATGCGCATTATATGTTCCATAAGCTTGCCAAAATTGGTAACTATGTTCAATTTACTTACCTCTAGGGAATTGATTTATGAGTTATCTGTATTTGTACTCACTACTTAATGTAACATGTTAATGGTTGTTCTTCATATGGACAGAGTCTTGTATTTGTCTTCTTCAGTCCCACCTGTCAGCGAATGGCTACCTGTTAACTGAGGCCCCCTCCGTCACCACAGCTTCTCTGTTTTGGAAACTCACAGAGGAACAGGAGTCTTCCACTGTCCTTGTCCTGCCAGACTCACATCAGGTGGGTAGAATGATACCCGACTCAGACACAGTGTCCTGACTGTGATCCAACTAGTCCTTGTTTTAGCCCCTTAATACCGAGCGCCAGAAAGTGTAACAGCAAGTACCTTCTTTTAACGTGTTTTGGTATAACTCGGACGGTGATCGAACCCCGGACCTTCCGCTCTCTGGGTGGACGCTCTACCACTAGACCACATGCACGGTCTAGAACGTTTTAGAAACTGTTATTTGAATTAATTGAACATATATATGTGTGTGTGGAAATGTCAATATTTCAGCGTCTGGACAGCTTCATGCCACTTCCAGGAGACAGCCTGGACTTGAGTACTGTGATCGTGGGTTGTTCTACTGAGACCTCCCTCAACTCTGACATCATCCTCAGGAAAGTCGACAGACAGATGGAGGTAGGCCGTTTAGATGCTTCTACTTTATTTATAAGAGAAAGGAACATGAGACCCCTAGATCTACTTTAACATATTGTTTCCAAAATTGACAAATGCTTTACAAAGAAACTCTTGTGTTTGCAGGGCAGTGCCTCTTCCCAGCTGGTACATGTGTATCTCCTGAAGACCTTCCGGAAAGATGATAATTCCAGTCTGTTTGACCTCCTGGACCAAGTTGACCGCAAAATAGAGGGAAATAACTCTCAGCCAATAACAGTTATATTCAGGTTGAATATATTTAAATATGTACATTATCAAATGTTTCCTAAATTACATGCAGCGTAAATATGTAAATCTAAAGTATTAATTATCTATATTTGCTCCCGGGTAAAAAATATGTTATAGGCACATTGAGGATGTTTATTGAACTGTTTCTCCATCAGTGAAAATGAACGACGATCAGCCACGTTGTTCTGCATCCTGAGTAACATCGTGCAGGGCATGAAGCACGACAACGAGGTGGAGATCTACAACAACATCCGAAAGTTGGGACATTTGTGTGACAATGATCTCTCGCAGGTAGGAATCAGAATAGATCTAAACCAAAGTAAACATCACTTATATCTTAGAAGTAATATTTTTGTTATGTAAGATTTCGCCTATTTGGCACGCCAGAAACATGTGCTTGCGGGCGCCACTTAAGTGGTAAACGTCATATCTGCATCACATCACACGCCGCGATGTCACTGTATACTGCCCAAGGCTACAGTGAACCAAACTCACAACAAATTTGTGTGTAAGATATAGGTAACTGCAATGTCAAATCCAAAGACGCGAAATATATCCTTGTATATAACAGACCATAAGATGCACTTCTAATATGCACTTCAATGACGACTACCTAAACTGAACACATTAGGCCTGACAATAATCTCAAGACTATGTACCTACATGTTTACTTACGAATGCATGACACCGTGGCTTTATGTTCCAGGCTGACGTCTCCCTGTGTTATGACCTGGCCTCTGCCTATCTGGAGACACAGAGTGTTTACGCCAACATGTGATGGCAACCCGCACTGTCCACACTGAACCTGTCGATCAATGCTATTAGTCTCTGCCTATCTGGAGACATATAATGTTACGCCAACATCTCATGAGAGACAACCTCTACTACCAACGTATGACACACGTACCCACACTGAATCTGTCCATCAATATTACTGACCCTGTCCCTACCTATCTGGAGACACAGAATGCATATGAAACAAATCAGTTCTCCTGACACAATATTTTTACAATATACCCTTCCATCATTATAGCTGACTTGTCAGGATCGACACATAAGGACATCTTGTAACCATCTCCTTTAAAGAGAATGAAGTCATCAACACAAAATAGAATGAAATGAAATGCAATGTCACACATTACAGCCCTTAACTTTGTGATCGTATAATGTTCTGTTCACCTTTAATGCATGAAGAAACATTACCGTCCATCTGGTATATCTCCTATATCACTCTCATTATTTTGATTATGTTATGACAAATGCAATGAACAGTGGTTATGAAAAATGAGTTATATTCATAGGTACATTTAAAAAGCATGCACTAAGTAGGCGCTATTAATAGCAAAATTGGTTAAGAATATTACAATGTTATGTTGTTACTATCATTTTGAATGACTGTATACCATGTCTCATCTTTAACTTTGTAACATTCTTCATTTGAACATAGATACAGCTTATATTCTCACTGTAATGTTAGGTTTGATATTTAAATGCCAAGGATTTTGATTTGACAGAAACATTTCAGCACTGAAGTGACCCCACTGTACTTGCGTATCTATAAACTACGACGCTCCTTTTCACAGAGTATTTTTACAACCATCAAGCTTATACAGACCATGTACTTTTGTGGCAGTGCCAAATCCATATGGTCAAAGTCAACATTTTGCATCCGTGATCTTGTTGAGCACAAAATCAGTGAATATATTTATATTTCGATGTTGATTGTATACTGCATTTTTGTTATTGTTTTATTTGATATATTTTTGTTGCATTTTACTTAATTTTTGTAAATTTATTCTTTGGCTTCTTGTCCATATATACGAAGTGAAACGTCTGTGAAACAAAAATTTAGAACAACGTGGACATTGAAAATGCCTCCAATGGACCAACTATCAATCGAAAAGAACACTCTTGCTGTGATATCTTTGTACATATTATGATTATTAATGTATAATGAATAACATCAGTTCGGGACTGGGTGGAGAGGCTCGCTGACTTGATTGATTCATGACATCTTATTCGATCACTGGATTGTCTGGTCCAGATTCGATTATTTATAGACCGTTGTCATATAACTGGAATACTGCTGAGCGCGGCGTTAAACATTAAACAAAACAAAACATCAGTTATGACATGTGGCACGTACGCACGTATGTGCAAAGTCTTTCTCTTCAATTAATTCAAGCATTTCAGAAACTCTCACCAGTCTTCATCTTGATATTTAGTATGCCAACATTCTCTTCGCTTCTTATGGCTTCTGTTCGTTAGTTGAAGCTGCTTCAACACAACACCTTTGAGAAACTGACAAACAGGTGCAGTGCCCTGATGTCCTGTCATCTCCCCATGAAGGGAGCTTGTCGTGTGGACCTTGCTCCCAATGAGTGCGTCATATCCCCAAGAAGGGAGCCTGTCGCGTGGACCTTGCTCACAATGAGTGCGTCATCTCCCCATGAAGGGAGCTTGTCGTGTGGACCTTTCTCCCAACGAGTGCGTCATATCCCCAAGAAGGGAGCCTGTCGCGTGGACCTTGCTCATAATGAGTGCGTCATCTCCCCATGAAGGGAGCTTGTCGTGTGGACCTTTCTCCCAACGAGTGCGTCATATCCCCAAGAAGGGAGCTTGTCGCGTGGACCTTGCTCACAATGAGTGCGTCATCTCCCCATGGAGGGAGCCTGTCGTGTGAAACTTGCTCATAATGAGTGCGTCATATCCCCAAGAAGGGAGCTTGTCGCGTGGACCTTGCTCACAATGAGTGCGTCATCTCCCCATGGAGGGAGCCTGTCGTGCTGACCTTGCTCACAATGAGTGCGTCATCGCACTCGTTTGGAGCAAGGTCCACGCGACAGGCTCCCTTCTTGGGGAGATGACGCACTCGTTGGGAGCAAGGTCCACGCGACAGGCTCCCTTCTTGGGGAGATGACGCACTCATTGTGAGCAAGGTCCACGCGACAGGCTCCGTCCTTGGGGAGATGACGCACTCGTTGGGAGCAAGGTCCACGCGACAGGCTCCCTTCTTGGGGAGATGTGTACTCGCTGGTTGTCATATGGTTCACTTCGGAATCTGCGTCCATGATTGTTTCTTGCCTGTGATCTGCTGGAATGGTTGTTGTTTCCTCTGCCAAAGAAACCATATCCACGTCTACCCCTTCTACTTCGAGAAAAGTAGGCAGTTTCCTCTTCCTCAACATTGGTTGTGTTGGTTGCGACATAAGTTGGTTCTGTCTTTATCTGAATAGCACCACTACCCTCAGATGGTGGCATCGCTTGCTTGCCAAAGAATTTCTTTAAGGACATGGCTGTTTGTTTAAACAAGGTTGTATGATTTTCGTAGTTGACACCAGTTAGAACAAATTGTCTGTCCTTATATTAAAGGCAAGCGTTTTCAAGTAACTTGAAAGCAAGCACTGATTCTGGAAGGCTCATGTTAATTTTTTTGGTTTTAATGTATAACTTTTCAAATTCAGTGACATATAAGTCCATAGACTGATCTCTTGATCTTTTGTACCTGTCATACTCTGTGTACACATCACATGCTTCTGAAAGTTCATCTTTCTTGTAAATATCATCCATAAAAGATATCAGTGTATTGACACCTTCCTTTTTGTTCAACATTCCAACACCCAGTTCATTGAATACCTTGTCACGTATCGAAATGACACCTTCATTCTCCGTTAATGATAGCGCTATAGCTGGCCCTTGTTTATCTTCAGGCAAGTCTGTCACTGTCTGCCACACTCTGACTTCTTCAACCCACCTCCCGTATGGCTTAGATTCCGTAAACACGGGTGGCACTCTGTAATTGCCCGACGCCATTTTCTTTAGTTTGTTTACTCACGCTGTCGCTGTAATTCTTCAAGCTTCTCTGCTCACAGTCTCTCGTAACCACGCTCTGCTACCATGATAACTCAAAATCCTTCTGGCTTCTATAACATTTAATCCACACCATTCAGCATGACAATACACAGCCATGTGCGCTTGCCTCATCGGCGAGAGGGACACACAGACAGACTCGCTACGTCACATGCAAAGTTAGTTTACACAACTTGTGATATCGGTAGTTGCGTATCTGAGGAATGTTGACAGGGCGTTGGGATTGAGATGCTGGGATTTTATCGAAACTTTTAGATTGTCCAGCAAATTCTTGAAAAAAATATGTGTGCTTCTGACTGTTAAAAAATACATTGTTGCAAGCTATTTTCTGTAAAATAACATTTACACTCATAGTTTTTATTAAAACATATTTGGTTTTGCTGATACAGCTGAACAAATACAAAGTCTCAATCCAAATTCACAGCCCCGCATTTACGTCGATGAAGATTAACTGTTATTTAAACATGATAACATTGAGAATTATTGACTGATCAACACAAGGGCAGACGAGTGTACACATACATATAACATCCAGTTGACATGTTGCTGGTTTGTATAGCTCGGGCCGAGGTGACAACACAGTACATTGTGTGTGTCGCTCGTCAGGGAGCGCACCTGTTGTTAACATATAGCATCTCAATAACACAATGCTGTGCGGTAACGCAATGAGGGTCATAGGTATTGCCTACGACAGTATGGCAGTGTGATCCAGTAGAGTAGTTGACGCACTGTAGTAACTCACTTCCTGGTAGGACTGTCTTCCTGGTAGGACTGTAACACTATGGAGTCTCGCGTTGTGGCTGTATTTCTCACGCTTCTCTGGCAGTCATCAGGTAGGTGGTACTTATGTCATAGTCATCAGCTAAACAACCTACTGTCCTGTGATAGAATCTTGTAGTCTTGACTTCTGTTGCATGCTCGTTGAATGTGTGATGTATCATTTTGTTGTGTGTAAGGGTTCACGTTTCGAGAAATAGGGTACATTTGGATCCCAGTCACCAAATGAGCCTGTCCTAAGCGTCGACTACATTTTAAAACTTTAAGTCTACGGTATTGCTCAGATATAGCTGCCTTGTGACACTCATTCACTCACACAGCGAATGACCGAATGAATGAACGAATGGAAGGACAGACTATTGACTATTGAAGCGTTGAAATCATCCCTCTTTTGAACAGCTTTATGTCACTCTGAATCTTTATGCGCATTTCTAAATAGGAACAAGACGAGGCGGTCTAACTGGTCTCCTTTATTTGTGGTTCTAGCAGGTAAATAAGTGGCCACATGACCGTTATTTAAGGATATCAGATAATCGATGTACCTTCTTGGCCGAATTTCCATAAATGTAGATTTTTGATAATCCGACAAGAAAATCCGATTCAGATGCATAAAAAGACAGAGAAGCAAGAAGGGGAGCATACTTGATGCCCATAAATATCTTACCCCAAAATGTTACGTAGATCTTATCAATGAGGAAGTCCAACATTTCAAATATTGTTTTCTCAGTAAACTTCTAATATCATTTGTTGTTTTTTGACAAATTGTCCTGAACGTCTCTGGATAGATATGTAAATGTATCTATGGTTACCACGTCACCAAGGATTGTTTCTGAGATGGCAAATTTCAGCAATGTTGTTTTTAGTTTTTTTGTGTGAATCCACCGGCATTAAATCTATATAGACTTGTCTCAAATACCTTCGGTGAATATGAAGAAAGTCCTTCCTTGATTGTATTAAAGATTATGTTTGATCTCCGAGACGGATTCGGTGGTACATTTGCTGGTCCCTACAATATGTGTCTCTTCGTACGGATGTTTATAGATAGCTTTCGAATCAACAGAGGAATGGACTTGTATGCAGGTTTTTAGAGTCAAGCCAAAGGTTGTTAATACTTATACACTCTTTAACAGGACGCACCTCGACTTATCTAGTTGATATACAGTCTTTGCACAGCACTTGTTCCTATGGAAAATAGTACGTTATTTGTGATGATGAGTATATCCTCTACCGACAGTTCTTACTATATGTGCTCACAACACGGCCCGTCTACCCCCAGAACTGTATGTATCACAGTACCAAAGTTTCATTTTAGGTTGTTAATACTTATACACTCTTCAACAGGAGCTGTCCTGATGGTACATACAGCTACCAGTGTCACTCTCTATCTCTTACATAATACTTTTGTTACAGGTAGCTGTCCTGATGGTACATACAGCTATCAGTGTCATTGTCTATCTCTGATATAATACTTCTGTTACAGACAGCTGTCCTGGTGGTACATACGGCTACCAGTGTCACTGTCTACCTCTGATACAATACTTCTGTTACAGGCAGCTGTTCTGATGGTACATACGGCTGCCGGTGTCACTGTCTATCTCTGATATGATACTTATGTTACAGGCAGCTGTCCTGATAGTACATACAGCTAACAGTGTCACTGTCTATCTCTGATACAATACTTCAGTTACAGACAGCTGTACTAACGGTACATACGGCTACCAGTGTCACTGTCTCTCTGATATAATACGTCTGTCACAGGTAGATGTCCTGTTGGTACATACTGCTACCAGTGCCACTATCTATCTCTGATATAATATGTAGGTTACAGGCAGCTGTCTTGGTGGTACATACAACTACCAGTGTCACTGTCTATCTCTGATATAATACATCTGTTACAGGTAGCTGTCCTGACAGCACATATGGCTACCATTGTCACTGTCTATCTCTGATATAATACTTCTGTTACAGACAGCTGTCCTGATGGTACCTACAGCTACCAGTGTTGCTGTTTATCTCTGATATAATACTTCTGTTACAGACAGTTGTCCTGATGGTACATACAGCAACCAGTGATGCTGTCTATCTCTGATATAATACTTCTGTTACAGGTAGCTGTCCTGATGGTACATATGGCTACCAGTGTCACTGGCTATCTCTGATATAATACTTATGTTACAGGCAGCTGTCCTGATGGTACATACGGCTACCAGTGTCTCTGTCTATCTCTGATACAATACTTCTGTTACAGACAGCTGTCCTGATGGTACATACGGCTGCCGGTGTCAATGTCTATCTCTGATATGATTCTGTTACAGGTAGCTGTCCTGATGGTGCATACGGCTACCAGTGTCACTGTCTATCTCTGATATAATACTTATGTTACAGGCAGCTGTCCTGATGGTACATACACCTACCAGAGTCACTGTCTATCTCTGATATAATTCTGTTACAGGCAGCTGTCCTGATTATACAAATGTTTCTATTGTTACTCTCTTTATCTGATATAATCACAGCAAAAAAAATGCAGTTTCCGGTATCCGGATACCTGCCGGATACCACCGGACACTTACCCAAAACGCGTCCGGGTATCCGGTGGCAGATACCTTGCCGAATACCAGATCCGTGGTATCCGGCATGGACACCACACCGGAAAGTATGCCAACTGGAATCCGGGTATCCGGCACCGGATACCTCACCGGATACCTCAATCTGGGTGTCCAGGGATCCGGCATCGGATACCTCATTCTGAGTTTCCAAAAACATGTCACAATTTGGGGGGTGCATTTTGTTCAATTAAGTGTGAAACACCTAAAAATATATTGGAAACTAACCATGAAAATTGAACATTGCTGAAGGTATCCGGCAGGAATCCGGCAGGTATCCGGATGCAATTTTTCGAGATGTCTTATTTCTGGTAAATAATGTTAGCCTGGGCATAGCAGATAGCTGTAGTAATATTCTGTGTTATTTTAGTTGTAAATATCCCCTTAAAGTTGGGCATGTACTTTTGTTGAAAACATTTTTTAAGTTCATATATATTTCATTTTAGATGTTAAGTGTATTAAATGAAAAGCATTCAGTCCTGGTATGATGGTATCCTTACATTTCATCTTCATATTCCCAGTTTGTTCTAGCCTAGTGGTTGAAGCGTTCGATTCACCACATCGGTACATTGCTTGGTGCCACCCATCATGATATTGTTGGAATTTTGTAAAGTGGCATAACACCATACTCACTCTGACAAAAAATTGAGAGTCATTGGCTATGTGCTCACTTGGGCCTTTGTTCCTGGTGAGATTAAAAGATTATTTTGGAACTGTATCAGTACTTGTTACATCTTGACAGACGAGTTTCGTTGAAGTTTGAAACAGAATATCATTAACCCAAATGGGTGCATAAGACTAATGGCATCCACAGAAAACACCTAATAAAGTACTGGTACATAAAAATATCAATGTAATTTTTCTACTGACATGGAACTAAAAACTTCGTTCAGTGAGCTGTTGTAGGATTGTAGGAAAACATTCAGGGCATTAGTATATTTGATATATGTTAGCACCTTTGTTATGAATGATCAATATCATATTTCTTTAAAGAAGCAAAACAAAACAATTGTTCAGATAAAAAATCATATTTATTGATTTATGACATTTCATTGGTTCAGTAACCAGAGGTGCAAGAACATTCAAAATCTGAAACAGATGCTTCAATGCCATTTTCTAAATAAACAAATTAGTCAAATCTCAGAAGAATTTCAAGGTAGAAGAATATCTAAAGTCAATTATGTTTGTGCAGTAAACCACAAACGTCATTCAGATTTGTATAGTCAGCGTCAGTGTACACCACATAAACATAGTCTCACTGCTGTGGTATTAATTCCTTTAGACATGATTAATGTCGTAATAAAACAACCTACAGAATCACACTGATGTGGCATTATTCATTCAGAATCATCACTTTCTGAGGTGAACCTGTTAGTTGTTCTGGGGAGGATTATTCATCATCCGGAGAGTCCTTTGTATGACTTGTCTGATCTGGTGTCATTGTGAAATCCAGGTGCCTGAAACAATTTATAACATCTTTAAAAGCTTGTTATTAAAAATATAAGAAACACACATATATTGACAAAGGGTAAAAAGTTGGTTTCTCAATGAGTAAGGTAATGACAATTTATCAAGCAACTGTTAACCAAACCATGTTAACCAATGTAAAAAAGCCATAGCAAACAGTAAATTTTACAGAAAATACAAAATTGTAATTGATCTTCTGAAAAGAATTCCTGTAGTGCCATAAGGCAGGCTCACCTGAATTTTTCTCAAATGTTTGCATTACATCAAAACATAAGGAAGGGTAAACAAGGCAATGCAAATTGCATAAAACAGGTTCTTATATATAAAAACAGAACTACCGTATTTGACGTAATAAGCGCCTCGCTCTAATAAGCGCCAACTGGAATATTTGCTAAAATATTGGCTAGTGAACAATTAGCACCCTTTCCAATTGATCAATGTATACAAGACTTATTTATTTGCGTATAATACACACTCGTGTGTGATATGCACCCTTAATTATGGGGATTTTCATTCTGGAAAAATATATTTGTCATACATAAACATTTCAGGCTGCCAGCATAAACCACGGAATTTTGAGAGCGCCCTGGACGCTTATTACGTCGAATACGGTATTCATAACTATCAAAACTTTCAGCCACACAAGTCATGTAAGTGATATCAAAATACTATATAATGAGTGTGCAAGTTAGTATAGTTCCGCACAGCTTTTAGCAATATTCCAGCAATATATCTGCAGGGACACCAGAAATGGGCTTTTCACACAGTACCCATGTGGGGAACAGAACCCAGTGCTTCGGAGAACACATTACCCACTAGGCTACCAAATACAAATATCATCTCAAAACAAAAGTAAGTAACATAAGGATTTCATACAACAGATATTTTCACCAAATATCAAGTCACTATACAACTGATTGAATTACTGATTAGAGGAGCAAATACATTTCAATGTAGCAGCTGAATCAGGCTTAATTTGAATCGTT